GAAGCCCTAAAGTAGCAAATCAATGATTACCTTAGGATGTCACATTATAGGCAACATCAAGTTTCTTCCTGCCTTCTGAAGACTCTAAATTTGATTTTTATTCACATAAAAAGTTGAATATTGATTTTTGAGGTATTCTAGTTACCCCATACAAAATAGGTCCTCCTCATCTTTATTCCCTGATAAAAATTATCAGAAATGCTAACTAGAATTGTGTTTCTCCCAGGAAGAAGTAAATAATAACCACTTGCTAATTTTAGTGTTTACCATCAAACACTCAACATTTATGTTATCCTCAATGTGTGCCTTTAATCTATTTATAAACTTCAATATCCCCTGAAATTGACTGACAATGCATCATTTATATCCAGTAATGATGCATCAAAATAAAAAACATCATTTACAGACAGAGGAAACGTGGCTGAAGACATGGACCTATAAATGCACTAAGGAGGAACGTAAACTTCGATTTTTTCCAAAGCCCTGGCCCCTGTAAGTCTGTTGCCTCCACTGCCTATCACCCATCAGCTAATAGGCTTTTTTTTTTTTGCAGTTTTGGCCGGGGCCAGGCTTGAACCTGCCACCCCTGATATATGGGGCCAGTGCCCTACTCCTTGAGCCACACACACAGCCCAGCGTATAAGCTTTTTATAAGATTAAGGGGCCCCAACCTAATTTTATGAATGAGTAAACTGAAGTTTGCAAGCTAAAAAGTCCCCGAATTCCATTTAACCCCAACAATTGAGCTGGGTAAAGGGAGTATTTATACCCTCTTCAGATGGAAAAGAGACAAAGGTAAATGATAGCTGCCCCATGTGTGGCTCCCTGCGCATTTGCCAGGCAGCTTTTTCCAGCCAGGCCTGGACCCACCTGAATACCTGCAGTGCTTTTTTTCCCTTCTGGAGTGACAGCCATGTGCTGCAGTGGTGCCATATGAGAAAAGTGCTCTGAGAAATGCTCACCACCAAGATGCATAAATGACCGGATCTCTCGGAGCCTCAGTTTCACCATCTGTAAAAGGGGCCCTGTGAGAACATCAGTCTCCCACAAGAGGAGAGAGAGGCTAAATTTCCCCATTCTGTACAGAGAGTAGTCTGCACATGAAATAGTAACTCTGCTATAATCCTAGCACTCAGGGAGGTTAAGGTGAGTGGTTGCCTGAGCTCACATGTTAGAGACCAGTCTGAGCCAGAGACCTTGCCTCTAAATAGCCTGGCACTGTGGCGGGTGTCTGTAGTCCCAACTACTGGGGAGGCTGAGGCAAGGGAATCATTTGAGCCCAAGAGTTTGAGGTTGCTGGCTATGATGCTGGCTCAAGTGGCTAAGGCGCCAGCCACATACACCTATGGTAGTGGGTTCGAATCCAGCCAGGGCCTGCCAAACAATGATGGCTGCAACCAAAAAAAATAGCCAGGTGTTGTGGCGAGCACCTGTGGTCTCAGCTACTTGAGAGGCAGAGGCAGGAGACTCGCTTGAGCCCAGGAGTTGGAGTTTGCTGTGAGCTGTAATGCCAGAGCACTCTACCTAGGGGGACAGCTTGAGGCTCTGTCTCAAAAAAATAAATAAATAAATAAATCACCTGAATTCATGATTCCAAAAACAAAAACAAAAAAGAAAAGAAGATGGAGCCGGTAGATCAGTGGTTAGGGGACCAGCCACATGTTCCAGCGCGAGGGGGTTCCAACCTGGCCCCAGCCTGCTTTAAAAAAAAAAAAAAAGGCTCGGCACCTGTGGCTCAAGCAGCTAAGGTGCCAGCCACATACACCTGAGCTGGTGTGTTCGAATCCAGCCTGGGCCCACCAAACAATGACAGCTGCAACCAAAAAATAGTCAGGCTTGTGGTGGATGCCTGTAGTCCCAGCTGCTTGGGAGGCGAAGGCAGAAGAATCGCTTGAGCTCAGGAGTTGGAGGTTGCTATGAGCTGTGATGCTACAGCACTCTACAGAGGGCGACAACTTGAGGGTCTATCTTAAAAAAATAAAATAGCCAGGCATTGTGGCAGCCACCTGTAGTCCCAGCTACTAAGGGAGGCTGAGGCAAGAGAATCGCCTAAGCCCAATAGCTGGAGGTTGCTGTGAGTTGTGATGCCATAGCACTCTACTGAGGGTGACAGTGAGCCTGTCTCAAAAATAAAATTTTCAGACAGGGCAGTGCCTATAGCTCAGAGGCTAGGGCGCTGGCCACAAGCACTGAGGATGGTAGGTTCATATCTAGCAGTGGGCTGCCAAATAACAATGACAACTGCAACAAAAAATAAAATAGCTGGGTGTTGTAGCGGGTGCCTGTAATCCCAACTACTAGGGAGGCTGAGGCAAAAGAAATGCTTGAGCCCAAGAGTTTCAGGTTGCCATGAGCTATGACACCGCAGGACTGTACTGAGGGTGACAAAATGAGACTGCCTCAATAAAAAAATAAATAAAAGAAAGAAAAATCACTCAATAGAAAAATAATGTACCTAGCCTAAAGACCTTAACTTTAGGTAAGAAGTAGAGGTAGGGGGAAGGAACACATTCCACAGTATGGGACCCATATGGGAAGACTTTCTTATGTAGGGAGAGGCCTATCTCAGATGAAGGTGTTTGAGCCTGGAGGTAAGGCAGCCATCAAGACAGCTGGTCTGGGACAAAAGAAACCCAAGATAAGTTTTTGGAGAACTTTCCCCAAACCCCACTGGAAGCAGGTCCATGGGGCTGCAATAATGAGGGGTGACAGGCGAGGCGCCTTAGGGTCACAGCCTCCGCCTGGCTGAAAGGGAAGGAAGCAGCCTCCCCAGCCCCACCTCCCTCCCGGACTAGGCTTGCTCCTCCCTTAGCCCCCTGCAGCTCATAGATTTCTCCCCTCCCCCTGCCCTTTCCTAGGGATGAAGGTTATGCCTATGGCTTTAAGAGCTGGATGGGGCTGGCCCTAGCCATGGACCCTTTGTCTCAGCCCTCTCCACCTCAATGGGGAAAGGTAAAGGTTCATACTCAGCTCTGCAATTACACCTTCACAGTAGGCCCTCAGCTTTTGGGGAGGGGTTAAAAAAAATGGCCTGAACCTATAAAACAAAACCATGGCTTCTTTCGAAAGGAAACAAAGGCAGTCTTCCTGCCAACTCCCAAATCATGGACAATGCTTTGGAAAAGGTCTCAATAGCTGGAAAAAATAAGAGTACTTTCGTGAAGAGGGGGAAAGGAGGAGCTCGAGGAGGTGCCTCCCTTCATCCCCAATTCTCAGTAATGGCTTCTCTAAAAGTGAGAGGCTGTTGGTTAATACACATCTCAACATTTAGTACATAATGACCCCACCATTGGGTCTTCCCACCCCCGATATAGTAGGGGGCGCTTACACCTGAACATCTGAGGAAGACTTAGGTTCAAAGAGGTTAAATCACGCATAAAACTACTTTCATCCTTACACAATCTGAGATTGGTAGAATTGTTCCTTTTTCACAGATGTAATCATTAAGGCATAGGGAAGGCAATGAACTTCCTAAGATAGGATTTAAACACACTGAAGACCTATGCTTCCCTTAAGAATGGAGTCTGCTTAGCCACGTGCTAGCTAATGCTAACAGCGGCAAACATGTATTGAGTGCTTCCTGCATACCAAATCAATAGAATAGATATCATCATCTCAACTCTGGATAAAAATCAAGTCTGCACCTGGGGCTTGGAAGAGCTGGTGAACAAAAGCACAGCAAGCCTGGTAGAGGAAGCAAGAGGCAAGTCAGCGGCTAGAGTGGTCTGAGGGCCCCAGCAGCAACTGTCTCCAAAAACAATTGCCACGGGTCTGCCAAAACCCACAGCATCCACAATTTAGGAGGCAGTTCAAAGTCCATGCTCTGCCCTTAATTCCCTTTAATTCAAACACCACTTTGCTTGGGGGAGGAAGGGGAAACACAGGGCCCAGCAAACTTCTCTCCCAGCTCTAGGGAGAATGAGAGAAAGGCCGGAGGCACAGGCATAGGGCTGGGCCCAGAATTCTGGACACATGTGAGAGCCTCCAGCTGAAAATTTGGGCCCGAGGACAGCGCCGTCTTTAGACAGCTAACTCTCCGCTGTCTTTCTCCGCTTCCACTTTCTTCCCCTGTAAAGTAGAGCTCAACAAGCGCCCTTCATACGACCACGAACATAGAAACCTGGATTCTAGGAGGTGGAGCTAGAAGTTGAAGCCTCAGTTTGCGACTCTGGGCAGTGGGGACAACCTCACCCTGGAAGGCAAAAAATGGAAAGTAAGCCCCTAGGGCAGGCAGCCTAGCCGCGGCAGGGAGGCGCCGCTCCTGTCCGGCTCCTCCCGGGTCAGGTGTGCACAGGAAGGCAGCCCCTCCCGAGGGCGTCCCGGCAGCCCCGCTGCGCCGCGCCCTCGGTGGCTCAGAAGCTCCGGGGGACCCCGGGAGCAAGCCCTCTTGCTCACACCCCCGGCACGCGCGTACCCCCCGGCCAGCCTGCCCGCCTGCCCGTACCCACACCCACTAGCTCTTCCCTCAACCCACGGCTGGGTGGGTAAAGAGTCTCTCGCCTGAAGCCCCCAGGTCAAATTCATAAGAGACCGAAGCCCATCTCCGTGTAACACGATTCCCCTTTCGGCTCCCCCGCCAGTGGCTCAGGCCAGGTGAGCACACCCCCTTATTACACTTTTCTCCGAAGGGACGCCTGCTCCTCTCGACTCTACAGCCGGGAGAGGCTGGGCATCTCCCTGGCTGAGAGCTAACTACTCTCCCCTTAGGGCTCTTGGAATAGAGCAGAAGTGTCCCTTCCACTCATATCCCCGACTCCGTCCGGGTCAGAAATACTCCCTCCGCTTTCTACCCACGTCCCATCCCGAGCAGGGTCAGGGAACTTTCCTCAGAGCAACCCCCCGCCGACCAAGCGTAGTCTCCAGCCCAGTGGGTGCCCCTCCCCAGGCGGTCCCCGGGAGAGGGTCTCTCCCCTGCAAACCCGGAGCCCTCTGCTGTCCCCTCCCCCACCAGCCCTTGGAGCCCCCCGCCGACAAGCCACCCGAGGCCGCGGGGCGCTCACCTGCCGAGAGGCTGGCTCGGGCGCAGCTCCGCGGTGAAGCCGCGGGTTGGGACCGGCTGGCGGGAGGCCGGCGGGCGGCCGCGCAGGGCTCTGGGCTCGCGAATCTCCGGCTCCGATCGCCGAGCTACGTTTACTTGGGCCACTTAACCCCCGCGCTGCCTGCCGGGCGCGGCCGCCCGCTCTCCTGCCCGCCAGGGGGCCGGTCCCGTCAGTCGGGGGGCGCTCCGAGCGTCCACGCGGGCTGCGGCCGTGGAGCCGGAGGCGACTGCTGCGAGGGAGCCGCGCGGGCCTGACAGGGCAGCGGGAGTGGGTGGGGAGGGGGCGGTGCCCACTCCCCTTGTAGCCCCGGCCAGGCCGTCGCCCCGCCCCCGCCCGGGGGGTGCCCCCGCTGCAGCCACTCAGAGCCCGGCCCGGGTGCGGGTGGGTCGAGGGGAGGGGAGGAGGGAAATTTGAAATCGCTCCGGGAGCCTCCCCACCGCCCCTCCGCCCCTCCTCCACGGGCATCGCCTTCTGTGCCCCAGGCCAGCTAAGTCATTTATGGGGCTAATGAGCCCTATAAGGCAGGACTCCAGACATACCCCCAAACTTGGGATTTCTGGGACCCCATTTCCCCGCCTCCTACACCCAGATTGCCGACAGACAGGTCAGAATGCGGAGGCTCAGATAGGGAAGGGAGTCACACAGCACCCCAGGCTCCCCTCTGCCCCTCCACCCACCTCAAACCTCTATGCCACCTGGGTACTTTGGAGGTGCGCCAGTCACCCTGCTTCGGACTCTGTGACTTGTCCTTCCTCCCACCCTGCTAGGCTATTGTCAGCCATATTTAGGAGAGGGGAGGAGAGAGAAGGGGAGAGGGAAGAAGGCCAGCAGGTCTCTGGCTACCTCCCTGCGGGAATCCATCCACCAGCTGAGGGAGAAGTCCCACTCAACTAGCAGGTCTCCGTTTTGGTTTTTTGTTGTTTTGTTGTTGTTGTTGTTTGTTTGTTTTTGTTTTTTTGAGACAGAGTCTGGGTAGAGTGCCGTAGCGTCACAGCTCACAGCAACCTCAAACTCTTGGGCTTAAGCGATTCTCTTGCCTGAGCTTCCCAAGTAGCTGGGACTACAGACGCCCGCCACAGCGCCCAGCTATTTTTTGGTTGTAGTTGTCATTGTTGTTTAGCAGGCTGGATTCGAATCCTCCAGCTCTGGTGTATGTGGCCGGCGCCCTAGCGGCTTGAGCTACAGGCGCCGAGCCAGGTCTCAGTTTCTTTGCCCTGAAATGGTCCTCCCACCACTGGAAAACAGAACTTAATTTCTCTTACCTGGTATTTGTATTTACATATTTGCTTCTTTACCTGTTTATGGCCTATCTCCATATTAGACTAAGAACAAGACCATGGTAGATGCTTAATAAATATGTGTTGAATGAATGAAAAATCAAATGAGGCTGGGCACCCATAGCTCACTGGTTAGGGTGCCCACCACATGCACTGGGGCTGGTGGGTCCAAACCTGGCCTGGGCCTGCTAAAAAAAAAAAAAAATCAGGCATTGTGGCAGGTGCCGGTAGTCCCAGCTACTAAGGAGGCTGAAGCAAGGGAATCACTTGAGCCCAAGAGTTTGAGATTGCTGTGAGTAATGATTCCATAGCACTCTACCAAGGGCAACAAAGTGAGACTCTGTCTCAATTTAAAAAAAAAAAAAAGCAAATGAATGACATGACAACCTACAGGGCTGTATATGAGAAAGCCCTACCTTTCAAGGAATCTCCTTCCCTCTCTCTTCACTTCAACATTTTCTCCTCTTTGCTGTTCTTAACATATACCAAGCATTTCCGTGTGATGGGGTCTTTGCCTTCTCTGTTCTCGCCTCTTGGACATTCTTTCCCAGAATCTCTGCTTGGCCTACTTCTCACCACTAAATTCTCTCCCAAAAGGAAGCCTTCTGGAGACCTCTTTTCTTGACTACCTCACTTGAACTGTCTCCCCTCCCCATCACTCCTATCTTATTTTATTCTGCTCCTAGCACTTACAGATATCTGAAATTGTTTTGCATATTTCTTGTTTACATCCTGCTACACACACACACACACACAGTTCATTCCATGAGGGCAGAAGGCACATCCATCTTGTTCCAAGTTGTCTCTATTGCCTATGGCAGAAAGAGGAGGGGTTATAACAAAAAGGAGCACAATACAAGTTTGTTGAATGGCTAAATGAACACAGATTTCCTACCGCCTGGCCTCCAGCTCTCTATGTCAAACCACAGCTTTCTCCCTATATCTCCTACCAGGTAAGTGAATAAATGAGTAAATGGTTAATTCTTTGGGAGCTGGAAAGGTGCCAAAATGTGTTGCATCTTATTCTCCTAAGAGCTTGGGGTGGCTCAGCGCCTGTAGCTCAAGTGGCTAAGGCGCCAGCCACATACACCTAATGTGGCAGGTTCAAATCCAGCCCAGGCCTGCCAAAACAAAAAT